CATAAAACACCTACTCTATTTCTAGAGTGAGCAGCAGTTATCGAATTGCTACAGCAGAGACTTAAAACAACTGGGTTGGGGGCGATCACAGCACCTGGCAGAGGGAATTCAACCAGCATCAACTTCTTTAGCGGCCGTCACATGTTATGTGATCGAATGCAGAGAGCTGCAAAGGAAGTCAATGCTAGAAGAATAAAAGTATGCCATTTGTTTAAGGAAACTGCATAAAAAGACTATTTGGGATGAAGAAATTATATTTTATCTACATAAAGTCTATATTATTTTCAAAAAGCAGCTGTCATCTTGTTCTGCTCATAAAGTACAATTGATCCCTTGCAATCCTCCATTTTTAGGTATCTGACAATAAACCAGGTCCTTTAAGACAACACCCGCCTTTTACAACTGTCATCTATCACTGTGGCATACTTTGTTGCTGCATGTTTTTTTTAGCCCAAAAGAAGAGGGAGTGTTGATTTTTTTTTACTCCAAGAACAAATGTTCCCAGTGCTCCCCTAGTCAGTGCTCTTAGACACACGTGTCCATCTTAGGCAATAAATGGTCATGGCCAGGACTACTTTATTATTTTTCATTTTGATACTCATGCAGATGTTTAATTCATTAGCAATGTTATCACATAGCTTTTTTAAGACTGTTATTAACCCCAATGTTTTTTATGTTATATGAATTTCATTGTAATCCTATATTATTATTATTATTCAGGATTTATATAGTGCCAACAGTTTGTGAATCACTTTACAGTATAAGGAAGACAGTTACAATACAAATCAAGACAAGATGGTAAGATGGGCACAGCCTGCGAGAGCTTGCAATCTAAAATATACAACGAGTTTTTCCTATGTGAGAATGTATCAATTACATTATAGTTTGGTCAGAATTTGGCTTTTTTCAGATACATATAAGTTTTTTTTTAAATATAACTTGTCACGCGATTTATCATTATTGAGTTTTCCTTCATTATGCACTATGTCTGTCTTGTAGCCCTGATGAAGGACGAGTGTTGTTGCCCCCCCCAAAAGCATTGGCTGTTTTTGTTTGAACAAACTGTGAACAATTTAAGGCATGTTTAGTCTTTTTCACCTTTTGGTTTAGAGGCCTTTATTTCTAAACATTGAGCCAATTCTGGGTACCCAGCAAGTGAGGCCTGTTTTGTTTGAGAGTTGTCTTACCATTTGAAACATTCCTGTATGGATGATTTGAGTGAGTACAGAAACCCCAGAACCTCCTAAATGTGTTCCTTTGGAGGACTGTATCTGTAGGCTGAGAAGGTGTATTTACATGTTTCTGCCAAAGCATTAAGTTGGGTAGGAGCAAAGGACTATGAAGAGGTGTCTACTTTAATAGGGCATTCTACTCAACTATTAATAATAAGGGCAACAGCAAGTTGTGTGTAGGAGCATTTCTAACCAGGCCTCAAAATTTATTGTTCAGAATTGCCTTTCCTTCATTAGCCACTTTTTGTGATGGCATCACTTCACATCACCTCCATCCACGACTAATCCCGCAATTTATGTGCTATTGAAATCAATTAAATATATGGCAGATCTGTCCAAATGCTGCCGAGCAACACAGGCATCCTTTACTTTCCCTAAAGACTTCAATACATTGAGTGCATGTGCAATAGAAACAAATAAACATTATTACAGGTGCAGTTCAAACTTAGCTTTTGCTGAAAATAAATCATAAGCAAATGTTATGTTTAGTGAACACAGCATGTCATATAATCAATGAGTCAAGAGAAACAATCATCAAAATCCATAAGAAATCTTTTTAAGGCCGATAAACACCTCCCTGGTCAACCGGGGTAAAGTAAATGAATGCGCGTGGTGGGCTAATGTACCAAAAATCATGCATGCAGCATTTGTGGTAGTGCAGCACACCTCAACACACACAACTGCACTGGAAAGGTGAGTTGAGGTGCCAGAATGAATGGCATCACATTGCATCAATGTGCGCATCGCAATAGTATAAATGGACCCTTACAAGAAATGGCAAGCTTAAGCTCCCCCCTGCCTAGCTCCAAATTTTCCATAGGTGTGTGCGTGGGGAAGAACTAAGTTTTACTTTTCCAGGAAAAGGCAAAATCTGCATATAAATTCAGGTGGTTGTATCTCTGAATATACTGATCGTTTTGACAAGTGGTTTATTTTAAACAAAAACATTTTGCAACAAATACTGCCAATTCACGTCCTGCATCCTAGCCAAATGGTGAGAGTTCTGAAGTTGACACTGCCACTGACCTCACGTTGAGCTCACTGTACTGGGGAATGCCCTGTGCATAGTACAGAATTATGTGACTAGTAACTGCAGTCCCACCCCAAAGCAGTGTAAGAGGCCTTCCTAAACTAAACTAACCTCCTGTCGTCCTTTGCCGGCGCCAACATATTTACTCAGTCTTCTTCCAGGTTCAGGATCTTCGGCCATTTTGATTGGCTAAAATGACATAACTCCCGTGCTTGTTCATGGGAGTTCATTTATTTTAGCAGAAAGGTGTGGCATGAAAGTACATTGTGCTGAAAAAATTGACAACCTACTCGCAATCTTTAAAAACCAGGCTACAAAAGATCATAATCCACCAAGGCTGCAGACCCCCATTCTCCCCTCTTGTCTTAATACCACATCTGAACCCCACTCTTTCCCGCACTCATCACCAAGCTTGCACCCATGTTTTCATGTATGTGTGGGTTTTTCATTATTATTATACAGCCATTGCCAATTTGTCTTTGTATGGCTTTGCTCCTATTTTGGTAAAAATTCTCTTTTTGGGTCCTACTGCAGTAACAATTTTGGGTCCTCAGATTAAAAAGTTTAAGAAGCCTGCTCTAAAACAATCTAGAAATAATGTTTCTGTGGAGACAAAATCAGTAAACGCACATCTCCCTAGTACCCATCTAAGTTCCTTTTTACTCAAAATTATCATGTCATTTGGTTATGCTTATACTGTTTGTGCCCACCGTGTAAATTCTAATGATGGGTCCACTTTAACTTGTGCCTGCTGCTGCCCTTTATCTAATACAGCTGTCTAAAATCCTGTCTACATAGCGAAGTTGGAACCAAAACCAGGGGTTTGGTACTTCTGTGTTCCTTTTTAAATTGTTGTGCCCTTTGAGATAAACATAAAGGTGAGAAAATCTTAGACTGCATTACTGTGTACCTTTCACATAGTACTGGTGAGATCTCAGTGACTTCTCCACTACACTGACAACCTGGCTTCACTTTGAAAAGGTTACATTTGTATTGGCTGATATGTTAGAAAACTTCATAATTCTACACTGTTACAAATGCAGCTGAAAGTACACCTGTCATATACACCAGCAACACTCAGGGCATGTCACTGCTTCTGCTAACTCCAACCATGAATTATGTTTTAGCTGTAATTTGTTGCTGGCAAGGCAAAATATATGCTGCTCCCCATTGGCAAGATATACCTATAAAAATTCTTGGTTTGCATCAATAAATGTTGACACACAACAATTAATTTTAATTAATATAAATTATTGGAGAGACCAACTGCAGTGAAGTGACTACTCAGTTAAAGAAAATGTTTGTGACCCAATTCATGTGACAGTGCTGGGCCAATGACCAAGCACCCAAGCACCAAAACTGTCACACAAGGATGGTCTATTGCTCTGTATAAGCTAGAACTTAAATCACTTGTAGATTACTCTGTGTGACTTCTTCTGCTCTCCGCTGCTGAACAGAGTTACAAGAAAGTGATAAAACGGTGAGTATGTACTGCTGGTGTGTGTGTGGGGGGGAAAAAAAAAACCTGTTGCTTTGGCCTCCATAAACAAAGATCATGTTTACTTTAGGGCTTTTAGATATGACTAATTAAATCTCAATCAAACAGAAGACACTGTAAGTATTTCAAGGTATCAATGGCCACCCAAAACTGAGATATTTGGGTTTTTTTTCTTACATTTAAATATACAAAATAAAGTCTGTAAACTATGAAAAGTTACTACTTATATGATACAATGGAAGTGAAATTGAAGGTGGGAGCTACATCAATAGGTGCCCTAACATATTTAAATGTATATGATAAATATGGTTTTAAGTAACATACATATATTTCCTACATTTAACAGCAAAGCCAAGAAAGGTTCATGCAGAAGGTCTCTGTATTCGAAAATTGAACTGCCCGTTAAGCATATTGGGAACACAAGCAAGCATTGCATGTTTGTCTAGCTACATTCTTTTTAAATGTGTAAAGCTGGTTATACATGGTGCAAATTTCACAGAATGGGCACCCATTAGCTGGAAAATTCTTGGCCGAACGAAGCTGGGAGCCAATCAGCTGCTAGCTTTGTTAAGGTATTCTGACAGCGGCTGGTGGCATACAATGGAAACAGTGGGAGATTCGTCCATCAACGCTCATAAGCCTTGATGGAGGAATCTGTTATGTTTTCTTTGTTCAGCCCGCAGGTGGAACACGGAAAATGTAAGCGTGTATACACGGCTTAACTATCTTTGTAGATATCTAGCTGGATAATTCTATTATAAGTGTAACATTTTTATTTCAATATTTGTTTTACAAGTGGATTGACAATAGTTTTTGAAATACATATGATACTGAAAACAATAATGCATTAGCATTAAGAAGGTAAACAGTGAGTAACTTAGAAAAACAATATAACTTTTTTAGAGTTGGTTTGTCCTCCTAGGGGTTATACACCGCACCTTTGCAATAAATGGGCAAAGGATAAAATGTAATATTAGCTAGAGGGGTTGTGGAGGTGGTGGGAGCTGGGGAAAGATAGTAGTAACATAGTACAGGACCATAATACAAAGAGTAAGAAGAGAAAGGAAGGAGGGGGGCAGGAGTTTAGGAAGAAGAAAGAAACTGAGTATAACTGCAAATTTTTGCCTGTATTACCATTAATCATTTCATTCCTGGCAAAAGCTTGCTCATTGCTTTCCTATTTGCCAAGTGGCTTACTTGCAACAGTACAGAAAAATTCAATCTAATCAATCTTTCTTACCTTGTGTCGACATTTAAGTACCACTCCATAAGCGCCTAAAGAAAATTGCAAAGAAGGCGACAAAATCAGATTGGAACACTAAAACAAAGTAAAGTGTACACATATAAACCTTCAGATAAAATGAGAGAGTGTATCTCACTTAATCAATTTACTTTCTAAGGTCAAAGCTAGTGACAGGTGAGTGAATTGCCTGCTTGCCTTTTGTTGCTGCCACATCTATGTTCAGTGTGGTGTAGATACACTAAATTAGAAATGGTTTATAAGTGAGCCCAATGCATTTAAAACAGGAAATGGAAATGGCATGCCATAATAACATATTTGAAGTTTGCTGTAACCTTCAAAATGACATCTTGAGTCTAATCACTGTGGTAAACAGTTTAAATTTTCCTGCTCCCAGTTGTTAAAGATAAGGTCACTGGTCAGATATTACACGTACCTATACTTAACAGGAGCATTTAGGGATGTAAGGAAGCCAATTAGTGTCAATTAAATCCTGTCTATAACGACTAAACCTATATTATAAATGAATTGAAAGCATTAAGCACTATCTACACATATTTGCAGATTTCTTCCACAGCATGATGGAATTTCTCTTAACTAATATGCTCTATTACAGCAATATTTGGTCCGGCCCTATCCTCCAATTTAATGTGACACTAAACTCAGGAGTTAAACCTTAAAATTGCATTCAAGTACCCTATTAACAAAAATTATTTCTACATCGCTCAGCTGTAGATCCTCAAATCATCTCTGAATGATAGTAAAGTAGCCACTGCTCCAAGCTTGCTCCCGTGATGGAATACAATCTCACATATAATAATTTGTATTGGGATTGTGGTCCATCACGGGAGCAGGCTTTGGAGTGGTGGCTACTTTACAACACACAAAGGGACCATGGGGAACAAAAGTAGCTACTCTCCAGAAGGAAGGACAGTGTCAGCACCAATTCAAACATGATTTGAGGATCTACAGCTGAGTGATACACAAAAAAGAGACATTTGTATTAATAGGTAAGGTACTTGAATACACTATTAACATTTAACTCCTGAGCTTAGTGTCACTTTAAGTCAGTAAGACTGCCCGTCACACTGCCTAGCCAATCAGGAAATGACACCAATAGCATTGGGTCAATTTTAATTTTTTTTTTAAGTCCATAAGCTTCTCAACCAATATTTGTGTAGTATATGTTTGTTTTACAAATAAAAATTTTATACATCAAAATGATTCCAAGAAAACTCCTGGTTAGCTAAAGAAAGGGCGCTGTAGTAGGAATCTCCATTCAGGCAATGCTGTCTGTTATTAAAACCTCTGAAGGAGCCATAGTGTAGGAGCCAGAGATAGAAAATATTTTATATTCATATTGTAACACCCCCTTGCCCCCTACTACCCCCTAGTGGGCTAGGATTTCAACTCTCAGGGCATTGTTGTGGGTAAAATAAAATTGGGTGCCAGTTTAGAGCATTTCTTTAGCTCAATAATCTCCAGGAGACAGGGTTAGGGCACATGATAACTGAAAACAAGTAAAAATACAGCTTTGGACTTTTCTTCTACTATAATAATAGTTGGCACAGGCATATTAACAGTGAGGACTTCTTGCAATTTCCACTGTTAGCAGCTTCTACCCTGCCATGCAGGACACTCTTAATTACAGAAGCCTCCTCCTAACATGCTCCCTACAGGAAGCCATCTTCCTGCTCAGCTTCCTCAGGATGTATGCCTTAGCAGGACAGCAAAAAGTCTTCAGGACCCCAGGCACAGGACATCCTCTGCAGTAGCCTCCCCAAGCAGCAGGCAAAGCTCTCCATGGCAGCCCCCCACCCCCCCTTCCTCCAAGGTCACCCTACATATTTATATCCTCCAACAATGCATTACTAGCCTCCTAGTTGTTGGCCAGAGAAAAATACATATTCATAACTCAAAACATTGTTTCTTCCTCTATCTACTGGAGCACTCCCCAGCAACAAGTAGAAGTAAACAATAGTCGCAACAACATCCAGAGATCAGGTTGGCCACAGCCCAGCTATAACACTAAATTATGGCAGGGTCCCTACACTACTTTATACTCTCCTTTGAAGTCAGAAGCTGAGACTTTAAAGCATATGTCAAGACAAAAAAAACATATTTAGTACATCTTTGGAACAAACAAACAAACCTTTGTCCATGTTTTATCCCTTTAAACCTGTTGCAAGTACAGAAAAATAACTGTTGATCTGCCAGAAATAGTATGTATGCTTCTACTTATTTTTGACAATACAAACAGCTCTGAATTCCAAAGAAAGTGGTGTCAGCGCTGCCTACTGCATTTCTGATGGATTACAAGGAACACATAGACCTCTCCTCATCATCTCCCCACCTACTCATCTCCGTAACCCATGTCCATTGGGCACAGGCAGAGAACACGAGAAATTATCAGCTCACAAGCTTTTTGGCAAAACCAACAAGTATTTATGCACTTAATGAACAGGTAAACAAAACACTTTTACTAGTATATTTAGCAGACCAAAGTGGAGCAAAAAAGAGATGTTGCTACATATACTTAAGCACCTTTTTACATGTTTTACAAGGACTCCTCTGTACCACTGTTGTAGAAAGCCAGTTGTGTACAGTGCTCAGTCGCTTATGCTGAAATTTACACACAGAAGTGTATGCGTCAGAACAGTGACTCATACCACCTTCCCTGTACAGCTCCATAGAGAATTTTAATAAAGGAGAATTAGTTTGAAAGGAATGCAATGTGACTTCAGTGTCATAAGTGCACCCTGTATAAAAGGTTTACGTGTGTGTGTGTGAGTGTGTATTTGTGTGTGTGCATGCCTATTTCCTGTTAAGTGAGGATGCTTTTAAAAATTAAACTAATAGTTTGCCTTTAATAATTATACTATGCGCCTGCAAAATCCTGCAATATGTTTAACTGTGTGCAAGTGTACCTCCAACATGCCTTGGGGTGTATTGGGGTGTCACTAAGCAATCCCGTCGTAATGCTATAGTATGAATAAGCCCTTATAGTTTTCCTATCCTGTTTGGCATTATTTATTCAGTAGTCATGCTCACAACTTACCTTCACCGACAACTCCAAGGACCTCAAATTTATTCATCACATTACCAAGATTAGGAATCTTCATGAAGACAAACACAGCTTCTGGAGAGAGCCACGGAACATGGCAGATTGTATGGAGGGAGTAGGATCTTCACAGCTGACTTGTTTTCACATAATATGATAACGATTTCATCTAGGGAATAGAAATAAATATTAATATGAATGGTGTTTGTGTTGAGGGAAATTCAAAAACATATTTGCAGAATAATGCTATCAGATTCTCAATGTTTAATGGTGGATTAGACATCTGTAGAATTATAGTAATTTGGGGAAAAAAATGGCAGTTAAAGATTATCTAAGCCCAAAAACAAAAATGTGATATAGTGCAGCTTTCCAGGCATTAGATGTGGTGATTGCATTCCTTTAAACTTTTCAGACTAAGAACAATTTCAGCAAGTACAGAAAATACATGTTGATCTTGCCAGAAATGCTGAGTCCTTATCACTTTCTATGATCTGAAAATAAAGCTCATCTTTGTTGTGTAGTCCAATCAATTAACCATATAATAAATATGAAGTAAGGCAGACATGTTTGAAATCCAGCCTGTGTGACAACCATGGCTCCCTCCATAGACAGAGAGGAGCAAAAAGCATAGACCAAGTGACAAGGGAGCATGGAGACGGCTTCCTGGCCAATCAGGAAGCCGGGCAGCGTGTAATGACTCGCCGCCTGGCTTTCTGATACCGGAAGTTCTGGTATCGGGACAGGCATCAGGAGCATTTGGGTGAGTACTAGTATCGGTATTGGTGCATCCCTAATTGCATACCTCTATCACAACTCAAGTACTGTCCAAATACTACCTGTACAGCAACAACTACAACACGCACCACCCACCTGCAACGGTAATGATCTTTAATGGTAAGCTCTAGCATTACTGGACAGTCTTGTCCTGGCACTAAGCTAAAATAACACAATGCTTAAAGTAGAACTATGGTCCTCCATAAAAAAAAAGTGCTGTAGCACTTAATTATAAATACATCTGCACAGTTTTCCCGACAAAGTCCCACAGATACCTGTTGAGTCTGCCAGTGAAGTCCACCTAATGCAACTTCATGCAATGGTGTGGCAAGGATGTTGCACTGCACCTGAATTCAGACCAGATTTGCCTCTCTTGTGTAGGCTTTGCCTGCTTGCGATACAGTGCAAGGGACATGGCTATAAGCATTGCCCTTGCTAATTCTCAAGTCTGTAGCTTGTTAATCAGTACCTGACCACATCTAGTCCTGCACACTGCTTTCTAGATTGACAGCCCTGTCTTTTTTATTGAAATCCTCCTCCAGTGTCTGGGAGCGGGAGCATGTGAGACACAAATGAAGGAGGATTTGACTCTAGTTGACATAATCACTGGATCTAAACTGTCATACCGAAGCCTTTAGTTGTACCTTAAAGCCAGTGTGAATTGCTGGGTGCATTTTTTTAATTTCCATCACAAGATATCAATGGCTTGCCCTATAGAACTAGCAATCAGTGGCAAAAGCAATCCAAATATATAAAAAAAGAAAAAAGCACCTCTGGAACTGATGGAGGTGTTTCCCGCTAACTGACATAGGGACCTAAAGAAAACCAGTTTGAATAATCTCCTGCATAGATGATGGCATTTGGATCCAAACAGGAAACATGCAATCTCTAGAACTCCAAAATGGCCACTGGAGCTCACATGACCTCTAGAGGCTTCTGCTAGAGCCACCGGTATAGAGAGCATGTATGCCTCCCCATGTTTCACTCAGTGGGCATGGGTATTATCAGTGGCACTAGTCCTACCCTTTTTGTGAAACAATACTCTAGGGCAGGGGTATCCAGCTGCTGTAGAACTGCCATAAGTCCCTAAAGACTTTGCAACCCTCTGACAGCCACAGGCATGACTTCCAGAGACATATCCATGACTGGATTTGTAGTTTCACCACTGTTGGAGTGCTGCAGTCTAGCTACATTAGTCCATCATTTCATATTTTGTTCTATAGTTTGTTGCCCCTGCTAATACACTTTGGGGTTTATTTACTAAAGGAGTAAAGCATTTTCACTTTGTAAAATACATTTTCACTTAGCTTAGTGAATGAGGTAAAGCTAGTTTAGGCCTACTTAAAAACTCACTTTCCAAAGACTATCCAATCATGTGCAAGAGAAATGCACATGACTGGATGATTAAAGCAGAACTCCGAGCAAAAACATTATTAACCCTTGCACTGTGGCTATCCCTGTACTGCAAGGGTTAAGTGCTCGTTTTTGCCTCAAAAAGAAAAAAGTTTTACTCACCCAATCCTCTGAGCTGGCTTGCTCTTAGACCGCCATCCAGCTTGGAGGATCGGGTGAATATAACTGTTATTTTTGACCCTAGGCAGAGGTAGCACCACTGCAAGGGTTAATAACATTTTTACCTGGAGTTCCTTTTTAAAGACAGTCCAGCTTCACTTCATTTAATAAGATAGGTTAAAGTTCCCTTTGTAAGTGTACATGCTCTACTTCTTAAGTAAATCAAATCACAATAGCTTTTCTTATTTTATTTCAAATGGGTCCCAGGCACATGAACAGTACACACAACTGCTATTTAAATAACAGAAACGTGTTTAAAAAAAAAACTACACTTGGATTTCCAACAGATGGCCATGACAAAACAGAATTTCTGCTGTCGGACTGCGAGTGATTACTTGAGAAAATATTAGAAAAGCGTAATCTACTTCTATACTTGGTGAGCCAACAGGTTGGTACCA